ACACACCCACCGGGTCTTTTTTTTTTTTTTAATATATTTTTATTGATTTCAAAGAGGAAAGAGAGGGAGAGAGAGAGAAAAACTTCAATGATGAGAGAGAATCATGGATCAACTGCCTCCTGCACGCTCCCTACTGGGGATCGAGCCTGCAACCGGGGCATGTGCCCTGACCAGGAATTGAACTGTGACCTCCTGGTTCATAGGTCAATGTTCAAACTACCGAGCCACGCCAGCCAGGTGAGCTAACCTCCTTTAGACTTCCACCGGGAGCTTAGACATCGGGATGCTTGCTCTTCAGCCCCAAACAAGTTTGATAGACCATCAGCTAACACAGATTCATACCGACAACTTAACATTTTTGGTGTTGTGGCTTTAAATAAAAACATGAAGGCAGGGAGGGTGGGAGGTAACCAACCAAAGACCTTTTCTGCGTCTATGCATGATCCATGGACACAGACAATAGGGTGGTGAGAGCCTGAGGGGGGCAGGGGCAGGCTACAGGGCGTCAGTGGGGGAAGGAAGGGGCATATGTAATACTTTCAACAATAAAGATGAAAAAATTAAAAATAAAAACATGTTATGTGATCAAATGCAAAGGTAGTTTTAAAAAACCAAGCTCTCAACATCTATTTCTTGAATTAAAATTTAATAGTATTTAAAGTAAAACATTTAATGTATATTTGAATGAATGCTAAGCAATGTATAAAAACATGTATCCATCTTTATCTTAAAATTTTGAAGCTATCTGAAAAACAGCTTCAAAAAAGACATTTTTCCTGAAGACAATTCAATATTTGACACCCGATTCGGTTTCGTTAAAATGTAGGATGATGCCGTGTTGGTCCTGTCGGCGGGATGCGGTGTCCACTGGTGCTCCCTGGTTGCCTAGCAACAGACAGGTGTTGGCCAGGACTAGAAAGAACAGTAGCAGGTCAGAGTACCCATCTTGGATATTTACCTGCGGTTACCTAGTTCATTCTTACAGACACTGGGTGACAATTCCTGTAACAACATGTCTCAGCACGGCTACTACTCATTCACCACGCGCAGACTTCAACCATGAGTTCTTATCTCCATGTTTCTGATGAACAGTGTTTACTCCGTTTCATAGTGACTCTTCTGGGCCAATATCTACCTGCTGCAGATATTTTTTTATTTCTGAATATTTTTATTGATTTCAAAGAGGAAAGAAGAGGGAGAGTTAGAAACATCAATAATGAGAATCATTGATTGGCTGCCTCCTGCATGCCCTACATTGGGGATCCAGCCCTCAACCTGGGCATGTGCCCTGACCAGAATCGAACCTGACCTCCTGGTTCATAGGTCTACCCTCAATCACTGAGCCATGCTGGCAGGGCATCCACCAGGTCTTAACAGGCTTCCACCCCAGGGGCTGCCTCTTGAGTCTGAAGGCATCAGAATAAAGGCTGGGACTTGGATGGTGGATTCCCCCAACCCCAAGGAGCTGGACTTCTCTCTCCAGACTCTGATCCTGGGATGGGCGGGAAATGCAGGGGTTTAATAGCCATAGAGTTCCCCAGAGCTCCCCTTAACTCTGCCTTAGATGTAAGGAGGCCCTGAATAGAATTGGATTGATTTATGAGTGGTAGAGAAAGTTACTTTTTCCAAGTCACAACACAGGGTAGTAGAAAGTGCGTGAGTTAATTTATTTTATTTTACTAGAGGCCCGGTGCACGAAATTTGTGCATGAGGGGAGGTCCCTTCAGCCCAGCCTGCACCCACTCTAATCCGGGACCCCTCGGGGGATGTCCAAATGCCGGTTTAGGCCCGATCCTGGGCCTAAACTGGCAGTCGGACATCTCTCTCACAATCCAGGACCGCTGGCTCCTAACTGCTCACCTGTCTGTCTGCCTGATT